CTGTGAAGCCCACTGTCTTGGGTCACCCACTCGCCCCTGTAACGTATTTCCCCTACTTTTCTCAAAGTCCTGGGCAAGATAGTTGCTTGCTTGCTTCTTTTTTTGGGTGGGAAGACAGCAAATTGAGGACTTGGTGCCTGGCATGAAGAAGCACCTGAGTGTGGAGAAAAGCTTGGGAGCTTGTGATGCAGCTTCTGAGTGCAAATAGGGGCGGGGCAAACATTAGAAATAAGGGGGATGGGGGAGAAATACTAGGCTGTGGGGGTGTGTTCCGGCTTTGTATTCCGTGAGGCATAGCCCCGCTGCAAGAGAGGCAGAAATAGAGACGCCCAGGGCATGCTTAGTAGGGTTGGAGAGGACGGTTTTGTCGTGTGAGAAGGATACAGAGAGACTCAGTCGCCCAGCGGAGAAAGCGCTAAGGTGCTTGGAACAGGTCGTTGCCAGTTTTGGAGAGAAGAGAAAGAGGCTTAACCCCTTAAACCTTAAACCCCTTAAGCCCCTAGAACAAATTCGAAGATAGCAGTTGAAAACCTTAGGCCCACTGACTTGTGTTTATGTCAGCTAACTGCAGGTAGAAGGCAGAATTTGTAACCCTGTTGGTCTCTCGTGCAAAATCCATACAGTAGTAGCTAGCTTTGAAAAATGCACTGGTGGGATTGCACGTGGATACCGTAGGGACGGTGTGAATCCCTCTAAAATGCTGGAAGTATGTACGGACATGGTGTGTTGACTCGTCCTCCTAGTTTTGAACTTTGATTTTGTTGTCTCCAGTATTGCAGAATTTCCCACAACACACATAAACATTGCCCATACATCTTTGTCTCTTTAATGTTTCTGTGGGAGTAGCCCTTCCAGATTCACTGCCAGACGCGAGATGGTTAGCTAGTGGGATGTGCTTTCAGAACAACGGAATCGCCAAGTTCCTTTCACCCCCTGCCCTTTTCTATGTTACGAACATTTTCAACTTTACAAAAAAATCGACTGGTGCAGTGGCCATCACCAAAATCCCGTCACTCAGTTCAACAGTCACCAGAATTCTGCTACACTGTTGATTGCCAAGCAGAGCCCAGACACCAGAACCACATCGTCTTTTCGACGTGCTTCAGCGCGCAGGTCTGCAGACGCCAGTCCTGGGTAGAGCGGCGAAGCCCTCCGCCCCTGGGGCGCGCGTGTGCCCTGAGAGTGGGCTGGGCCGGCCCTGTTAGCGCTCACGCAACAAGAATGATGTTCTGGCTACAGGCTACTGGCGTTTGCGCCGGGCTTGTAGCGCGTAGTGACCGTCGCTGCCCAGACGCAGCGGAACTGCTGCTTGAGCGGCGTCCGCGTGGCCCGTCCACGTGCCCTCGGTCTGTCCCGCCGGCGTTCCAGCTGCTCGCTCGCTTTCACTCACTTGTCTGTTGTGGGTTTGTTGCAGACTTTCGAGTCCGCGGTGCAGGAGAACGTCAGCATCAACGGACAGGCGTGGCAGGAGGCGTCCGACAGCTGCTACGTGGGTAGGTGGCCGACCCCTGCCCGCTCTCCTCGGCCTCAGAGCCGCCCTTCCGTTCATTTCATCCTGAACGCTGTTTTTCACCCCCACTTCCGGTGTCTTCTTTTTTTCCCTGCGAGGGAGGACTGGGTACCGGCAGGCCTCAGGTGGGGGGGGGGGGTGCGAGGGTTCCCCAGGGACCGAGCAGGGAGCAGAACAGCCGATGGACTGAAATCCCCAGCTGAGGGAGCCGCGGGGAGAGGAGAGGCCTGCTGCGCCCTGGGGGTCACTTCCTGGCCGGGGATCGACTCAGCCACAGTGGTGACAGCGCTGAGAATTAGCCCCTAGGCCACCAGGGAGACCCTTGTCACTTTAAAAAAAAGCTTCTTTACGGAGGGATAAACGAGGAAACTCAACGTGGAAGACTCTGGAAGCCCTCATCTCAGGCCAAGCGCCGGCCCCGCAGCCGCCCTCATGCTGTCTGGCTTCCTCGGCAGGACCGTCACCGCTGGACCGGTCAGCAGTGGGCTGGGCAGTGTGGTAGAACAGTGTGGCAGTCCGGAGAACACCCGCGTTGATGCCGCCACCCGAGTTGTGCTGTCCGGGCGGCGCAGGGGGGAGGGGCGGCCTCAGCGGGGGTCAGCTGCGCTGGCACGGACAGGCCGGCGCCAGGGTGTGCAGGAAGTGCCCGCACAGGCACGACTTCGCTGGTGTGACGCCGCCTGGGCCCTTCACTAGCTAACGGTGCCGACACCGCAGCGGACCGGACGTCTGGAGAGAAGGCAAAAGCCCTGAGCAGGCGGGGCGGCGAGAGGGGCGCTCGGGGGCTGGCAGGGCTCACGGCCCCGTGACCCTGAGGCCTGGCCCGCTGGCTGGTCACGCTGTCCAGCTGGTCACGCCGCAGGCGACCCCCTGGCTGTCTTTGTCAGCGCTAAGATCACGCTTTGCCAGAGGCGTGGCTGCCCACCTGGGCCACTGCAGCCGGCTCCAGCGTCTCGGGGACGTCCTCTGGGGCGCTGGTGGAGCAGGTAACCCTCAGCGGCGCCCAGAGGCCATCGCGGCGGCTGGCCGCGTTGATGGACGCTCGTTCTGCAATGTCCGGTCCAGCCGCCCCCAGCAGGTCCGCTGTTTAGTGCGGAGGTTGAGCGGGGTCTCCCCGCCAGGTGGGTGGCCGGGGCGGAGGCGGTTCTTCCCCGTGGCCGTGCGCAGGCCGCGGC